TAATATATTCATTATCTTGACTGTGGTGATGGAGTTATGAGTAAATACATGCACCAAAACTTATCAAATTATAAACTCCATACATGTTCCTTTCACTTGGTGTCACTTATGACTCTGAATAAAACTGTACCTCTGTTACCTCAACACAAGGGCTACCTCCCAGCTTTGTCCTGAGAATCAGATGAGTGGAAACCATTAAAACAGATCCTGGCTGGTTAGTGGTAAGTTCTCAGAAAGCATTGTTTCTTGCAGTTGTTACAAACACAATGGCTCAGAAGAGAGTTTTAAGAAAGCCATTCATTTCCCATTAAGCAGGAAATGTTACCTTCTACGTGGGTAGGAAAATAGTACAGGAATCAAATGCCTTGAAATTAAAGGCAAAATTTGTTGCTTTCTTCTCTTTCTAAAAAAAAAATTTTATCTTAAAAAAATGCAAATAGTAAAAAAAAAAAAAAAATCCAACTGAGAGCCAAACCAATTCTAATTTCAGTTGTTGAATACTGATGCTTGCATGATAACTTCTAGATTCCCTAAAATTCTTACTTTGCGACAGTTTAAATCCTTTGCAGAATCCTGGGACATTTCCCCAGGAAAACAGGTGTGTGGGAGAGAAAGAACCAAGAGTCTCTCTGGTGCAGAAGATATTACTGCTTCCTATTAATCATTGAGAACTTACATTTCCTATGACGAATTCCTTAAATCAATTTTTGCAACCCCACAGAAAACTTCTGCAGGTTAAGATGGTTTCTGCAAAGGGTCCTTGGCAGATGGATTGGGATTGGCTGAGTCTGTGAAGTTCTTCCTGCCTTCTCCCAGCCGCCATATATATTTTTTTTAAATATTTTATTTATTTATTTGACAGAGAGAGAGAGAGAGAGAGAGAGATCACAAGTAGGCAGAGAGGAAGGCAGAGAGAGCGGGGGAAGCAGGCTCCCTGCTGAGCAGAGAACCCGATGTGGGGCTCGATTCTAGGATGCTGAGATCATGACCTGAGCCGAAGGCAAAGGCTTAACCCACTGAGCCACCCAGGCACCCCTCCCAGCCGCCATCTTGTTTTCCTTCCTCTTTGCCCTCACTACTCAGCCCCTGCGAGGGGGGATGCTTTCCTTCTGGGTTTGCATTTCTGCCCTTTCCAGGCTCCTCAAGACTCCCCCAGGAAGCAGGGTTGGCATCCCTCATGGATACAGAATCTTTGGGCCAGAGATCTGGCTAATTCAGTCCATGTGGACAAGGAGCTTAATCAGGACGCCGTGGTCACCAAGGAGGAGGGAGAGGGGGACTTTAAGAGCAATCCACATTTTTCTCTCCTCCTGAAAGATGAGAGGGGGTGAAGTCCAAACACAACTGTCCTGAACAGTTTCTGTTCCCATGTTTTAGGTGGAAGAGGAAGAGAGAAAGAAGACACCCGGACAGATGGGCTGTTTCCTGATCTCAGTTGGCCTCTCCATTCTCGGTGGCTTTCTTTCCCCATGGCCTCTGGGATGGCTCTCCTGGAAGGTTTGCTGGCAGCACAACTGAACAAATAGTTTTGTGATTAGTGCTAATCTGGCTTTAGGCTTAGGATCGAAGTCTGGGGAAATGGCCATGGTTCAGATCTTAACTCCAGCATGGCTGGCTTTATGACCTCTGTGGGTGACTTAACCTCCAAAAGCCTCAGTTTTTCTGCATATGGAGGACTGCACAGCTTATAACCCTGCCTGGTAGGGTTGCTGTGAGTTACACGTGGGAAGATCTTGGGACAGTGTCGTAGGCTTTGCTGTGGTGACAAGTGACTGGGCCCAGATGGTGCATAGCTCCACACAACAGGTCTTCATTTCTGTTCTTGATAATACCTGTGGTGTGTGTGGGTGGGCGGGGGAGCTGGTGCTCTACTCAGTCACTCAGACCAGGCAGACTGATCAAGAGGTTTTGAAGTTGTAGCATCTGGAGCATATGGCCTGAAAGGTTGCTGCGGAAAGGATGGAGAGAGTGTGGAGTCCCATGTGGTCTGCGTCAGCTCAGGCTGTTGTAACAAATTACTGGAGACTGGATGGCATAAACATCAAATATTTATTTCTCCCAGTTCTGGAGGCTGTGCTAGCATGGCTGGATTCTGGAGAGAGCCCTCTTTTTGGGTTGCATACTGACTTCTGCTCACGTCACCACTAGCTCTCTGACCTCTTCATAGAGGGGTAGGAATCCCATTCAGGAGGGCTCTGCCCTCACAGCCTGATCACCTCCCAAAGCCCCTACCTCCAAATACCATCATTGGGGTTGGGCATTCAACCTGTGAATTTTGGGAGGATGCACACATAACATAAAAAAGTTACCACTTTCTTTTTTTTTTTATTTTATTTATTTGACAGGGAGAGAGATCACAAGCAGGCAGAGAGGCAGGCGGAGAAAAAGGGGGAAGCAGACTCCCCGCTGAGCAGAGAGCCCGATGCAGGACTCGATCCCAGGACCCTGAGATCATGACCTGAGCCAAAGGCAGAGGCTTTAATCCACTGAGCCACCCAGGCGCCCCAAGTTATCACTTTCTTACTCTTTGGTTTATCTATAACCTTCCTTATTTCAAAGGAACTGAGGTCTCCCACCCACCATAATGCATGTAATTGCACACACACGAGATGCAGTACCCATTCAGATGGATTCCTTAAAAACACCTAAATGCCACCAGTGTCTTGAACAGCACCTTGTGAGCCACAGAGAGCCACCTTAAGGTCCAAACGGCTGGTAAGCTGGAGACTTGGGGTTTGAGCCCAGGCACACTCAGACTCCGGACCTCCAGCTCCGCCCCTCTGCAGAGCTGCCTCTCAGACACACTCTAAGAACACACTTGTGCAAATACACACAAACATGTTTTTATCTACAGTCATATTTCCACAAACATGATGTCATATAGCCAGCTCTATGCCTATACAGTAAGGTGGTGTCTTCCTTTCTTTCTTTGTTTTAAGATTTATTTGTTTATTTGAGAGAGAGAGAGAGAGAGAGAGAGAGTGCACAAGCAGGGGAGGGGCAGGCAGAGGGAGAGGGAGAAGCAGAGGGACCCTCCCCCTCTCTTTACTCTCTCTCTCTTCTCTCTCTCTCTCTCAAATAAATAAATAAATCTTAAAAAAAGAAAGAAAGGAAGACAAAAATATCTTAAACATTACACATCTGTTATTTGTTACGAGGGACTTTTTACATATATTTATCATCCACTTACATCTTGCCAGTTCCCTTTTCATGTGTTAGAGTGACAATAGTAATGCTGATCTTTTCAAAGATTCGTAAGAGCTCTTAGTATATTAAGATTATAAAGCCTTGGGGCGCCTGGGTGGCTCAGTGGGTTAAAGCGTCTGCCTTCAGCTCGAGTCATGATCTCAGGGTCCTGGGATCGAGTCCTGCATCGGGCTCTCGGCTCTTCGGGGAGCCTGCTTCCTCCTCCGCCTCTCTCTCTCTCTGTGCCTGCTTCTCTGCCTACTTGTGATCTCTGTCAAGTGAATAAATAAAATCTTTTTAAAAAAAGATTATAAAGATTTTGTTTCTCATGAAAGTTATAAAGATCTTTTCCTAGTTTGTCTTTAAGCTTTGTTCCAATTTTTAGTCTGAAACTGGAATGTGTGACTTTCTAACATAAAACCAGTCCATTTTCAGCTTAATGGTTTCTTAGCCTGCTGTCCTGTGTTTCCCATCCATGGATTGTATGTTCTAAAATTCACTTATGCTCTAAGAATTTGCTTTTAGAGGGGCACCTGTGTGGCTCAGTGGGTTAAGCCTCTGCCTCCGGCTTAGAGGTCATGGTCTCAGTGTCCTGGGATAGAGGCTCGCATGGGGCTCTCTGTTCAACAGAGAGACTACTTCCTCCTCTCTCTACCTGCCTCTCTGCCTACTTGTGATCTCTGTCAAATAAATAAATAAAATCTTAAAAAAAAAAGAATTTGGTTTTAGGGATGCCTGGGGTGCTCAGTCAGTTAAATGTCTGCCTTCTGGCTGCTTTTGGCTCAGGTCGAGATCCCAGAATCTCGGGATCAAGTCTCGCATGGGGCTCCTTGCTTCTCCCTCTGCCTGCCGCTCCCCCTTGCTTGTGCTCTCTCTCTGACAAATAAATAAATACAATCTTTAAAAAAAGAAAGAATTTGCTTTTAGACTTTAAAATCGTGAATCCAGGTAAAACTACTCTGATGCGTAAGCTCATGTTTAACCTTGTGTTTGAGTGTGGTCCCGGGTTGACCTGGCAACGTAAGGCAAACTTCAGTCTCCCACCAATCCCAAAGGCCCCTCATCATTTGGAACAGAGTTACAGTGTCCTCCGTCTGTGCTCTGGCCTCTAATGATCCTTTTTAATTTCTTCTTTATGGTAAAACTGTCGGAAGGATGTGCACCTAACGGCTCCATACGATCACCTCTGGGAGAAGGTGCGAAACCCCTTTTTCTTCTCGTTTCTGTGCATTTTGACTTAACTTCGATTTTTCTGTATTTTATCTTAAATGTTTGTCATTCCCTCCCCCCCCCCCCCTTTATTTCGTTTTCATTCACATCTTTTAAAAATTGCCTGGCTGGGCAATCGATTGCAAGAGCTAATTTGGCTCAAACTTTTCCTCTGTGCTCTGGAATCTGCCTCGTGGCGCGGCTTTGAAGAGGCCCCCCTCACCGCCTGGCAGGAGAGGCCTCGGAGCTGGGTTTGGGAACATGAGCGGGACGCGGGGTGATGTGGGAGCCTGAAGGGGTGGCAGCGGGGTGACCTGGGGGCGGGGTGGAGTATATGAGGGTGAGGTGGGGTGGGAGTCCGGGTGAAATTGGAGAGGGGCGTGTCCGCGCAGGTCCCGCCCCGCACATGGGCGGAGCCGCCCACGGGGCTCGCGGCGCGCGAGGTCAGGCTGGCGTCGGGCTCAGTGCGCAGGCGCGCGTCTTTCCGCCGCGGGGCTTTCTGGGGGTCTTGGGCCTCTCCGTCACCTGCGTGGTGGCGGACGCGGGAGGCGGGCGGCTGGTCGTGGAGGTTCTGGCCCTGGTCCGCGCGGGCCGCCCGAGGCTGCAGCGCGGGGCGTGGAGAGGGGGGCGGCAGACCCCAGCCCGCTCAGGTCGCCTCCTTCTCTCCCCCCGGCGGGGGCCGCGTCCTTCCAGAATGGGGGCGCCTCTGGGGCCTCCGAGCGAACGCGCAGGAAGGGCCGCGTTTTGGGGGCTGGCAGCGCTCGCCGCGGGGTCTCGGTCCTCGTAGGTGCCGAAGGGGCCCGTGCGCGGCCGGGAGGACTGAGCGCCGGCTGCCACCGGCTGGGGGTCGCCGAGGTAGGACTGGGACCTACCTCGCCCTGCATGTGCCGCGCCCTGCATGCCGTACATCCGTGACCGAAATGTGTTGCCCGGCTCGCCTCGGCGGTGTGACTCCCTGGGCTCCTTAGCGTTTCCCTGGGTCGGTGCAGATTGTGGGGGGGCGCGGGAGCAGCGGGGCCTCCCCGCCATGTGCCCCACCCCCGGGCGTCCCCGCGTCCCCGCATCTGCGCTGTCCAGGGCCTGAGAACGCTTCTCCGCGGCCAGCCCGCCTTTGTCCTCGGTCCCCTGCTTTGCGTTCCCTGAGAGGGGCCGTGTGTTCTCGGGGAGACGGGTCTGGGGCCTCTGATGAAGCTTCAGTTCGAAGGAGTTTCTTCCCTAGGCTCTCCTGGAACAGAGCAGGTCTACTGAGGCAGGAAGGGGGGGGCTCCGGGAGCAGGAATCTCACCGGGAGGAGCCCTGTGCAGAGCTTAGACAAGAGGCAGAAGAAACGCAGAAAAAGAGCATAGGGGGCCCCGAGTGATTTCACCACCTTCAGGAGAAGGGAGCTGGGGCCAAGTGGTGGCAGGGGACGGACTGTGTGAGAAATGTCACCTAGTTGGCTCCACAGCCGGGAAGCTTTTGTTTTCAGCCCTACTGCAAGGAGCACTCTTTCCTCCATTCTCCACTGATTCTTTCCAGAAGGTGGGCCGCTTTCTAATCATGACCTGTCACCAGGTCAGGCATCTGGAGATGTGTACTTCGGTCTTCCAGGGTCTTTCCACAGTGGATCTTGATCTTACAGGGTCAAGAGTAGTAGTTCAGGGAGGGTTTGCCGGGGTTTTTTGGTTTTGTCTCATTTGGTGCAAGAGGGGAAAAGAACCTGAAAGGGGAAGTGAGTGACTTGGCTAGGATCGGTAAGACGTGAATAGAAGCCAGAGTCCCTGAGTCCTGGCTCAGTCCTGTCCAAACAATCACATCAAGATAAGTTTCCTCTTAAAATATGCTTTTGAGGTGTCCCTGGGTGGCTCAGTGGGCTGAGGCCTCTGCCTTCAGCTGGGGTCATGATCCCCGGGTCCTGGGGTGGAGCCCCGTATCAGGCTCTGCTCAGCGGGGAGCCTGCTTCCTCCTCTCTCTCTCTGCCTGCCTCTCTGCCTGCTTGTGATCTCTGTCAAGTAAGTAAATAAAATCTTTAAAAAAAAAAAAAAGATGCTTTTGAGAAACACCAATCGAATTAGAAGAAACAGTTTCTTCAAAGATTTACGTTTAAGGTATGTATCCCTTTTCCCAAAGCTTTGAGGATTCTTGGACTCCGGGTGAATGTTATTGTTAGTAAATCAGATACACAAAATAGCCTTTAGGGTTTGCTTTCCCCTGCAACATGAGTTTTGTTTTGTTTTTAAAATTTACTTATTTATTTGTTATTTATTTTCTTTATTTGGTTATTTGCCAGAGATAGAGTGAGAGAGTGAGAGCAAGAGAGAGAGAGAGAGGGAGGGGCAGGCAGAGGAAGAAGTTGGCTCCCTGGGATCATGACCTGAGCGGAAGGCAGACACTTAACCAAATGAGCCACCCAGGTGTCCCTGATTTTACATTTATTTAGAAAGAGCATTGGTGCGCAAGTGGTGGGGGAGGGACAGAGGGAGAGAAAGAGAATCCCAAGCAGTCTCCACACTCAGCATGGAGCCCGTGATCACGACTCCAGCCAAACCCGAGTCGGTAGTTCAACCAGCTGAGCCACTCAGGCGCCCTACAAGATCAGTTTAAATGAAGACATTGTATTTCATATTTTGACATGCCAGCATTTGCTTAAATAGTTCTGTTTTAAGGGGCACGTGGGTGGCTCAGTTTGTTGGGGATCTGACTCTTGATTTCTGCTCAGGTCGTGATCTCGGGGTCATGGGTTAGAGCCCCTTGTCAGGCTCTGCACACAGCATGGAGTCTGCTTGGCCTTCTCCCTCTGCTCTCCCCCACACGTGCACACGCACACACTCTCTTGCAAAATCCTCCAATAATAACTTTTATTTTAAACGTTTCTGTGTCAGTGGAAGGGGGACATAGTTAAAGCAGTAGGAAACCGTGCAGGTTTAAGGAGTCAAAGGGGGACGGATGTTACCTTGCTTCTCTTTTCTAGGATCAGAGGTTAGCCAGCTGGCGTGTAGAAGTTTGTATGGGAACCGGGAGCTTTGGGGCCGGCCGGCTCTCATTACCCTGGTGGGCTTTCCTCCTCTTACAGCTGTGCCTTCCCAGCGTTTGACATTCTACCCAGAACAGCAGAAAATGAACAAATCCCAGGTGAGTGGTTTCTTTTCTTTACTCCATATTTCATTTTTCAGCAAATTTTGTGGTTTTTATAAGTGTCTTCATAAAGTAGAAAAGCCAAAATAGATAAAAAGCTGCTTCTGGGTAAATAAAGAGTGAGTGGTACCTTTGTAACCTGCGGTGGTGGCTGTGAGTCATGTGACTGCTTGGTCATCACAGATGAGCCTCACCTTTGTCTTTGAGCTTCCTGATCTATGTAGCATTTTCAGTGACCACAGAGAGGAACCAGCCAGTTACTCCTGGGACGAAAGACTTAGTGACCCTGGAGTCTGGGGAAAAAACGTCTTTGAAGTTCTTCAGGTGGTGAAGAGCTTTCTGGTCACCCCTGTTTGCCTGTAATCATTCTTCACTGGAGGTAGAGGTCAGAACTCAGGTTTTATTAGGGACCAAAGTGCTGCTGGACTCTGGAGAGCTTTCTGAACGTCCGCTCTGATCTAGGGACAAAACCCTCAGGCTCTCTGGAGGCATGAAAGAAAGGGATGGCTTCTTCTTAACTCCTCAAACAGTTGGACGGCAGATGGTTCAAACTCCGTTTTTGGCAAATGCTTATGCACTATTCGCTCACGTTTCTTTCATTTTGATAAAGTATATATAACAGAATTCATCATTTTAACCATTTAACCAGAAGTGTACAGCTCAGTGGCATGAATTACTTTCACAGTGTTGTGCAACCGTTACCCCTATTTTCTTAACTTTCTTGGCTCCCCAGACAAATCTCTGTAATCCTTGGCCAGTAAGTAACTTGCAGTCCTCCCAGCCCCGGTAACCAAATCTTCCTGTCTCTCTGAATTTCCCTATTCTAGGTATTTTATATAAATGGAATCACACAGTCTCTGTCCTTTTGTGTCTGGCTTCTTTCACTTGAATTAACATTTTCAGGGTTCATCCCTGTCGTAGCATGTATCAGAACTTCCTTCCTCGCAGTGTCTGAATAATATTTCGTTTTACAGATGCATCATCTTCCGCTCATCCATTCGTGTGTTAATGGACACTTGGAGTTGTTTCCATCTTTTGGCCCTTAAGAATAGTGCTGCTGTGAGCGTTCAGGTACAAGGATCTGCTTACCCATTCGCATTTCAATCCACTGGGGGTATCCTCACTTCTTCTGCATTACTTGCCTAAATATGTCCTGATAAAACTTAGCAGTAATGTCTCTGCCGTGGACGCCAGCAGATGTTTCCCAGACCTTACTTTACTAGAACATTCGGTTGCATGTGGCAGTTAACCCACTTTGACCTTCTAGAAAGGCCTCTTTCTATGGCATTTTGTGGCATCGTTCTTCTCGCTTTTTCCTACTCTGATTTCTTTGTCTCTCTCATGGCATCCTCCTCCTCTTAGGCCCATTCTCACAGCTTTTCCCCAAACTCCCATCCTTCACTCCGTCCTCCTATTACTCTGCCAGTCCTTTCTGTTTCCTACCCTCTGTGGTGGTAGTACCAAGTGTTAGCCTGGGCTCTCCCCTCACGTCTTGTCTTTCTCCGTTCCGGTGGCTAGAGTCTCTTCTGTTTTCCACGTTCCAAAGTTAAAATGATCTTTTGCAGCCTCCCCCATCTCCCATCTAATCTTGTCTGCCCATCCCCTGTTGGATGGTGGACCATCTGCGGGGCACAGTTAAAGGAAGCCCTGGAATGGGATTCATCCTGAAGCCTTCCCTCCCTTACCTCATCATGTGTGCATCTCAGTTTTACTACTTTTAAGATGGCAACAGGTTTTTGTTTGTTTGTTTGTTTTGTTTTTAATGGCAACAGTTCTTAAACCTGTTCTTCCTATTGAATTCTTTCTCCCCTTTCAGAGCTTAATTTTCTCTTCCCTGGACTGTTGGAAGAGCTGCTCACTTCTTCGTCCCCCAGATTACATCTGTCCTCCTGCGTAATTAATCTGAAATGCTATTCTGGGGTGCTTAGGTGGCTCAGTTGGCTGAGTATCTGACTCTTGGTTTCGGCTCGGGTCATGATCTTGTGGGTTGTGGGATCGAGCCCCATCTCGATTCAGTGCTCGGTGGGGAGTTTGCTTGAAGATTGTTTTCCTCTGCCCTTCGCCCCCCTCACATAAGCATGCTTTCTCTCTGTTTAAAATAAATTCATAGGGCGCCTGGGTAGTGGTAAAGTAACAGATATATAGGGGGTACCTGGGTGGCTTGGTGTGATGTATAATTCTTTTTATGCGTTATTGGTTTCATTTTGCTAAGATTTTGTTGAGGATTTTTGCTTCTGTGTTGATGGAAGATACTGGTCTGTAGTTTTCTTTTCTTGGGATGTCTATCTTATTTTGGTATTAGGGTAATGATGGCCACATAGAATGAAACAGGAACTGTTCCCTTTGTGTCTGTCTTCTAGAGGAGATTGTAGAGAGGTAGTACAATTTCTTCCTTAAGTGTTCGGTAGGATTTTTACCAATGAGCCAATCTAAGCCTGGTGCTTTCTGTTTTGGAAGATTATTAATTATTTTGTTTGTTTGTTTATTTTTAAAGATTTTATTTATTTATTGGACAGACAGAGATCACACATAGGCAGAGAGGCAGGCAGAGAGAGAGAGAGGGAAGCAGGCTCCCTGCTGAGCAGAGATCCCGATGCGGGCTCCATCCCAGGACCCTGAGATCATGACCTGAGCTGAAGGCAGAGGCTTAACTCACTGAGCCACCCAGGTGCCCCCCTATTTATTTATTTTTAAAGATACCATTTATTTATTTATTTGACAGCACACGCAGGCAGAACGGCAGGCAGAGGGAGAGGGAGAAGCACTCTCTCCACTGATCAGGGAGCCCGACATGGGTCTTGATCCCAGGACCTTGGAATCATGACCCAAGCCAAAGGCTTAACTAACTGAGCTACGAAGATGCCCCAAGATTAATAACTATTGACTCATGTTCCTTGATAGATGTAGACATAGATTGTGTATTTCTTCTTCTTCTTTTTTTTTTTGGATTTTATTTATTTATTTGAGAGAGAGACAGTAAGAGAGAGCATGAGAGGTGAGAAGGTCAGAGGGAGAAGCAGACTCCCTGCAGAGCTGGGAGCCTGATGCGGAACTCGATCCTGGGACTCCAGGATCATGACCTGAGCCGAAGGTAGTTGCTTAACCAACTGAGCCCCTAGATGCCCTGTGTATTTCTTTTTTTTTTTTTTTTAAAGATTTTATTATTTATTTGACAGACAGAGATCATAAGTAGGCAGAGAGAGAAGGGGAAGCAGGCTCCCCGCTAAGCAGAGAGCCTGATACGGGGCTCCATCCCAGGACCCTGGGATCATGACCTAAGCCGAAGGCAAAGGCTTTAACCCACTGAGCCACCCAGGCGCCCCTGTGTATTTCTTCTTGCACATTTAACAGGTTGTGTCTTTGTTCGGATGGGTCCACTTCATCTAGGCTATCAAATTTGTGGACATAGAGTTATTCTTTATATTCCTCTGTTACTCTTTTGCCACCCCGAGAATCTGTAGTGATGTGTCACTTCTTCCATTTTACATATTAATAATTTGTGTCCTCTCTCTTTTCGTAGAAAACCTAGCTAGAGGTTTATTGAATTTTTTAAAAAATCTTTTCAAAGAATCACCTTTTTGGTTTCATTGGATTTTTTTCCTATTGATTTCAATTTTACAATTTCTTTTGACGTTTCCATTTGATTTCTACTCTAATTTTTACCATTTCTTTTCATCTTTTCACTTTTAGTTGTTCTTGTTCTGGTGATTGATCTTAGGTCTTCCCTCTTTTCTAATATGGGCACTAAGTGCCATGCCTCTGGCTCTACTGCTTTGGTTGTGTTGCACGCATTTTTTATACATTGTGTTATAATTTTTATTTAGTACAAACTATTTTAAATTTTCTTTTGAGATTTCTTCTTTCATCCATGAGTTATTTAGAAAGTGTGTTGTTGGGGCGCCTGTGTGGCCCAGTGGGTTAAAGCCTCTGCCTTCGGCTCAGGTCATGATCTCAGGGTCCTGGGATCGAGCCCCACATCGGCTCTCTGCTCAGCAGGGAGCCTGCTTCCTCCTCTCTCTGCCTGCCTCTCTGCCTACTTGTAATCTCTCTCTGTCAAATAAATAAAATCTTAAAAAAAAAAAGTGTGTTTAATCTTCATATATCTTGGAGTTCTTCAGTTATCTTTCTGTTACTGATTTATAGTTTAATTCCACTGTGGTCTAAGAGCAAAAATTGTATGATTTCTAGTTTCCTTTAGTTTATTAAGATGTGTTTTATGGCCCACAGTGTGGTCCCTTGTGGTGAACGTTCCATGTGAATGTAAGAAGAACGTATTCTACTTCCATTGAACAAAGTAGTCAATCGATGTCACTCCAATCCAGTTGATGGATGGTGTTGTTGAGGTCGGCTCTGTCTTTGATTGTCCCTGGCTGGATCTGTCCGTTTCTGATAGAGAGATGTTGAAGTCTTCTAACTGTAACCGTGGATTCATCTCTTTCTCCCTGTAGTTCTGTCAGTTTTTGCCTGACGGATTTGACTCATGTTCTTTGATAGATGTAGACATAGATTGTGTATTTCTTCTTCTTCTTCTTCTTCTTTTTTTTTTTTTAAGATTTTATTTATTTATTTGAGAGAGAGACTGTGAGAGAGAGCATGAGAGGGGAGAAGGTCAGAGGGAGAAGCACATATCTGTTAAGGATTATTATATCTTCTTGGAGAGTTGACACTTTCTTCATTATGAAAGCCTTTCTCTATCCTTGATAGCTTTTCTTTGAAGTCTGCTCTGTCTGAAAATAAGATAGGCCCCTGCTTTCTTTTGATCGGTATTATCATGATGGTGTATCTCTCCAGCCATGTAGTTTGATGGGTTCATTCTTTAAGGAACAATTTTTTCCCAGTTTTTTTTTTCTTGTGGCATAGAAAATTTACCATTTTAATTATTTTAAGGGTACAGTTCGGTGGTGGTAATACGTTCATAATGTCATGCAACCATCACCATCTGTTCCTGTAGGTCTTTTAGAATCTTATAAAACTGAAGCTCTGTGCCCATTGAGTAATAACTCTCTATTCCTCCCTTCTTGTCCCGAGCAACCACCATTCTTCTCTGTCTCTCTGATATTCTCTTATGCGTAACATCTTAAAGGTTCATCTATATTGTAGCAAGTGTCAGAACATCATTACTTTTCTCTGACTGAATAACACTCGATCCTATGTACATACCACGTTTGCTTCGCCATTTGTCTGTTGATGAGCACTAGGGTTGCTTCAACATTTTAGCTATTGGGAATAATGCTGCTATAAATATGGGAGTACAGATATGCCTTTAAGACCCTGCTTTCAGTTCTTTGGGGTATAGAACCCGAAGTAGAATTACTGGGTCATATGATAAATCTGTTTTTCACTTTTTAAGAACTGCCATGCCCTTCCGTACTGGTTGTACCATTCCACATTCCCACCAGCATTTCTCCACGTCCTCTCAAGCATGTGTTTTATAGTAGCTGTCCTAATGGGTATGAGGCGGTATCTCGTTGTAGTTTTAATTTGCATTTCCCTAATGATCAGTGATGTTGAGCGTGTTTTTATGTGTTTATTGGCCATTTGCATGTCTTCTGTGGAAAAATATCTGATGAAGAATTTTGCCCATTTTTGAATTGGATGTTTGTGGTATTTGTGTGTGTGTGTGTGTGTGTGTGTGTGTGTGTGTGTGTGTGTTTAGGAGCCCTCTATATATTCTGGGAATTAATACCTTATCAGATATATGACTTGCAAATATTTTATCCCATTCTGTGTGTTGCATTTTACTCTGTTGATAGCGTCTTTTGATGCACAAAATTCTTAATTTTCAGTAAGTCCACTTTGGTTTTTTCCCTTTTGTTGCCTATGCATCATATCCAAGAAATTATAGCTAGATCTAGTGTCATGAAGATTTTGCCTTATGTTTTTTCTAAGAGTTTCATAGTTTAAAATAGTACATTTAGGTCTTTGATCCACCTTAAGTTAATTTTTGTATGTGGTGTTAAATAGGAGCCCAGTTTCATTCTTTGCCTGTGGATACCCAATATTCCCAGTGCCATTTGTTGAAAAGACTGTCTTTTACCCATGGAATGGTCTTGGCACCCTTATAAAAAATTATCTGGTCACAAATGCGAGGGTTTAATTCTGGGCTCTCTATTCCATGAGTCTGTGTGTCTGTCTATATACCTGTGCCACACTGTTTTGATTTTTGTTGCTTTGTAGTGAGTTTTGTAACTAGGGAGTATGAGTCCTCCAACTCTTCTTTTTCAAGGTTGTTTTGGGTATTTACTTGGGCAAAGGATCTCCCTTTGAGATTCCATGTGAATTTTAAGATGAGTTTTTCTATTTCTGTAAAAAACATCACTGGGATTTTGAGAGGGATTGCGTTGATTCTGTAGATCACTGTGGGTAGTGTTGACATCTTCACAATATTAAGTCCTCCAATCCATGAATGTGGGCTGTGTTCCCACCTAGTTATATCTTTCATTTCTTTTTTTTTTTTTTAAGGATTTTATTTATTTATTTGTCAGACAGAGATCACAAGTAGGCAAAGAGGCAGGCAGAGAGAGAAAGGAAGGGAAGCAGGCTCCGTGCTGAGCAGAGAGCCCGATGCAGGGCTTGATCCCAGGACCCTGAGACCATGACCTGAGCTGAAGGCAGAGGCCCAACCCACTGAGCCACCCAGGTGCCCCGATGTCTTTAATTTCTTTAAGCAGTGTTCTTTGGTGTTCCTTGTGCAATTTTTCACCTCCTTTGTTAATTCCTAAGTATTTTATTCTTTTGGTGTGATTGTAAATGGGATTGTTTTTATAACTTCCTTTTCAAATTGTTGTCCGTGTACAGAAATGCAGCCACTTCCTGTGTATTGATTTGTATCCTTCCTCCTACTTTGCCGAATTCATTTATCAACTTTAACATTTTTTTTGTGTACTCTTCAGGGTTTTCTACATACAAGATCATACCGTTTGCAAATAGATATAATTTTACTACTTCTTTCCGATTTGAATGTTTTGTTTCATTTCCTTCCTTCCCTTTCCTTCCCCTCCCTCCCTCCCTCCTTCCCTCCCTTCCTTCCTTCCTTCCTTCTCTCCTCCCTCTCTGTCTCTCTCTCATAAGTCTTCTGGCTAACATTTCCAGTACTAGATTGAACAGAAGTGGCATAAGTGGGCATCCTTGTCTTTTTCCTGATTTTAGAGGAATAACTTTCTGCTTCCACCAGTAAGTGTGATGTTTGCTGTGTATTTTTCATGTATGACTTTTATTATGTTGAGGTGGGTTCCTGCTACCCCTAGTTTCTTGAGTCTTTTTATCGTGAAGAACGAGTGTTGGATTTTCTCAGACGCTTTTTCCACGCCAGTTGTGATGATTGTGTGTTTTTCCCCCTCATTCCCTTAACGTATGGTGTATTGCGTTGATTTTTATATGTGGTATTAAATAGGAGCCCAGTTTTCATATTTGGAGCCATCCTCACACTCCAGGAATAAACCACACTTGGCCATAGCGGGTAGTCCTTTTATTATTATGCTGCTGAATTTGGTTTGCTAGTATTTTGTTGAGGATTTTTATAGCAGTGTTCATAAGGGATAATGGTCTGTAGGTTTCTCTCAGTGTCTTTTTCTGGCATTGGTATGAGGGTGATGCTGGCCTCACACGATGAGTTAGGAAGTATTCACTCCCCTTCAATTTTCTGGAAAAGTCTCAGAAGGATTGGTATTAGCTCCTCTTTAAAATGTTGGTAGAGGGGCGCCTGGGTGGCTCAGTGGGTTGATGCCTCTGCCTTCGGCTCACGTCATGATCCCGGGGTCCTGGGATCAAGCCCCGCGTCGGGCTCTCTGCTCAGCCGGTTCCTCCTCTCTCTCCGCCTGCCTCTCTGCCTATTTGTGATCTCTGTCTGTCAAATAAATAAATAAAATCTTTAATAAAATAAAATAAAATGTTGGTAGAAAAAAAATAAAAATAAAAAAAATTAAAATGTTGGTAGAACGATACAGTGAAGCCATGAGGTCCAGGACTGTATTTGTTGGGATAGTCCTCATTACTGACCCAGTCTCCTTACTAGTTGCAGTTCTGTTCAGACCATCTGTTTTCATCCTGATTGAGCCTTGACTGGGTTTTGTGTTTCCAGGATTTTCTCCATTACCTCTTGGTTACCCAAATTGTTGGCATGCATTTGTTCATACTACTCTTATAAACCTTTTTATTTCAGCAGAACTGGTAGAAATGTTCTTATTTTCATTTCTGACTTTAGCAATTTGAGTCTTCTCTCTTCTTTTTCCTTAGTCCATTTAGGCAAAAAATTGTTCTGTTCATCTCTTCAAAAAACTGGCTTTTGTTTTCATTTTATCTGTTGTTTTTCTTTTTTGTTTATTTCTGGTCTAATCTTATTATTTCCTTCCGGCAGGTGGGTTTGGGTTTAATTTTCTTGTTTTTCTGGTTCTTTAAGTTGTAAAGTCAGGTTATTGATTGGAGAGCTGTCAGGGTGATTGCTCTCAAGTCCTTTATGGTTCCTCCTTATTCTCAGGGTCACACCTGCTGCCTGCCGAGGGCCCGGGATGCTCCGGCAGAAAGGAAACAGTAGGTTGTCTACATTTAACTTTTAGCCAGGAAAAAAAAAAAATTTAAGCTTATCATCATTGTGTGGATTGGCAGTTTGTATATATTATCCGTTAAGAAGTAAATAAAAATTGGAAGGTGCTCAAACTTTATTCCTAGGGTGAGGGTGAATTATTCTGGAGACACTACAGTATAGGAATGAACCCAGACTTGCTATGTAGTGTATCCCTGGACACCATGGCAAATCTCTAACATCTTACAGCCCTACACACTGTTCTGTCACACTTCTGGGTGCGTCTCCTGACTCCTTGGCCCTGCTCACGTCACGGTGCCACATTAATGACGATCTCCGGTTTAGTGAAGCCCAACTTGACAACACAAAACAGAACCCTATTTTCTGACATTACTTAATACTCTTTGTAAATGACTCTAGCACAGCTCGCACGATACCTTATTACAGCATAAGTGTTCATAAATCTGATTTGTCTCCTTATTAAGACTGAAGCTCCTGGGGCTAAGCCTCGGTGGCTCACTTAGTTGAGTGTCTGACGTTTGATTTCGGTTCAGGTCATGATCTCAGGGGCCTGGGCTCGAGTCCTCTGTTGGGCTCTGTGCTCAGCGGGGAGTCCGCTTCTCTCCCTTGCCCTCTACCCCTCCCCCCAACTCACATGCTCTTTCAAATAAATCTTAAAAAAAAAAAAAAAAGGCTTAGGCTCCTTAAGGGCAGGAAAAAAGAACAGGATTTATTTAGCTTAATATTCCTTGCAGAGTTAAGACAGTTTCAGAAACACAGTAAGAACTTCAGTTTTTTTGTTTGAGTTAATAAGCTAATACTGGGTTTTCTGGGTTTTCCCATCATATTCAGTTTATCCACAAAGTAAAAACAAAAGATGTTATAGAATAGGCCACATATATACTTTTATGGTCAACTTGCAAAGTAAACATGTTAAGACTTGTTTCCCACTTGTCTTTTTCATGTCACCCAATGCTGCTCTCTTTGGCTTGAACAGAAATGTGCTGGTCAGGGATCCGTGTCATTCAGGGATGTGACTGTGGACTTTACCCGGGATGAGTGGTTACAACTGACGGGCACACAGAGGACACTGTACCGGGACGTGATGCTGGAGAACTACAGTCACCTGGTCTCAGTGGGTGAGGGTGTTCCCTGTGTCACGTCTCACAGCATGCATTTCCTTTCTTCCTTCGTAGCTGCCAGAGTTTTTGGGCCCCTGAAGGAGTGTTTAATGATACTGTGTGTAGGGGTGCCTGGGTGGCTCAGTGGGTCAAAGCCTCTGCCTTTTTTTTTTTTTTTTAAAGATTTTATTTATTTATTTGACAGAGAGAAATCACAAGTAGGCAGAGAGGCAGGCAGAGAGAGAGGAGGAAGCAGGCTCCCCGCTGAGCAGAAAGCCCGATGCAGGGCTTGAACCCAGGACCTGGGATCATGACCTGAGCCGAAGGCAGCGGCTCAACCCACTGAGCCACCCAGGCGCCCAAGCCTCTGCCTTTGACTCATGTCATGATCCCAGCATCCTGGGATCTGGGATCGAGCCCCGCATCAGGCTCTCTGCTTGGCAGGGAGCCTGCTTCCCTTCCTCTCTCTCTCTGCCTGCCTCTCTGCCTACCTGTGATCTCTGTCAAATAAATAAAATCTTTAAAAAAATAAAAGTGATACTCTGTGTATATCTCATGATCTCATGGGTGAGAGATGTTCCCATTGGGCACATGCTGTGTTCTTGCCTCCCTAATGCAAGGTACACACGGGCTCCTTTATCATGTGGCTCCTGAAGCTGCACCTTCCTCGTCCTCCAGGGTCCTTATATCGAAGCAGCTGTGACGAGTTTTACCCTATATTCCACTTACAGGGTGTCACCTCACCAAACCAGAGGTGATCTCCAGGCTGGAGCAAGGAGAAGAGCTGTGGCCCTCAGAGGCAGAATTCCCAGACCAGGGTGATCAAGGTGAGTTAGTCATTGTGGAGGAAAGAAGAACCCTACAGAAATCAGGCCCCAGGTGGATCGGTTCTGAGGTTGGTGTGTGTCTCTGTAATTCAATTTTGGGCCCTTAGACCTTTGGAAGTAGCTGAGCAGTGAGCTGGCAGACCTCCAGTCACCCAGGTCACCCCTGTCTGTCACTTGTAAATACCGTGTTGCCCTCTTCTGCCTGATAGCCAGTATGGAACCCCTGCCTTCTTTGCCTTAGACCTTTGTCTTTGGTTTCTTTCTCTAGTATTCATCTTCCTCCATTTCATGGACTATTTCCTCTTTATTTTTCCTCTGGCCATCCATCCATCTGTCCATCCGTCCATCCTTCTGTCCTTCTGCACATGTTCCTCCTGCGTGCCACTTGTGTTCTTGATGCTGGAGATATGCTGGTGAACTAACAATGTTCCTGAGCTCTTAGAGCTTACAAGCGAGAAGATAGATGTAAACGAAAAAAAATTACTTAATCAAGTGGTGAGAAGACCCATGGAGAGAATTAAAGCAGGCTAAAAGGAGACCGTGGGGTGTGCTCTTTTAAAAGGTGGTCAGAGAATGCCTTTTTGATGAGGTCCGCATTAGAGGGGATCCTGGGTTTTCCAGGGAGAAGGAAGAGCCAGGCCATGCTCTTGTGGCAGCTGTTGGTTGGAAGAGCTCTGGGAATGGCAGGGGGCCATCGTGGCTGTAGGGGTGCATCCGAGAGGGACATTGGTAGGGGCTGACTTCAGAGAGGCAGCCAGAGCCCAGATGATGCCTTACAGGACAAGCTAAGGGCTTCGATTCTGCTTTAGGTGAGAGGGACAACTGTTCATGGATTTCCACAAAACAGTGTTTTAAAAGAATTTCTCTGGCTACTGCCCAGAGAAAATCAGAGACGAGCGTGAGGGTGGTTGACGAAAGTAGAAGCAGAGACAGAACGCAGGGCTGCTTGCCCCAGAGCGCCGCCAGAGTTACCCGCTGATCTGGCAGATTTCAATTTACTGCTCATGCTGACAGTCTCATGCCATGGAGGAAGTTGAACAAAATCAGGTTATTTATAGCACTGGAGGGCATGGTTTCAGGTGTATTTTTAACATAGGAACTTGATAACCATTGAATAAGGACCATAATATAGTTTAGGATGTGTGGACACAACAAGGATTGAAGGTTCCCGGAGAATAAGTTTATTATTTATTGGAATGTTGAACAGTTTGTTTAAAAGGTTTGGGGGCAAGATTCTGAACTGAGCAGTAAAATTGCTTGCAACTCTTAGCTTCCCGGGCAAGTGTCCCAGAGTAGTACAGTCCTGTTCTGAAGACGGAATACTGGTCAGGTTAATGTAGGGACTGGGCTGTGCGGGTGTGGATGGTTTCGGTTCTCAGCAGAGCAGACCGGCTTGCAGTGGTTTCGGTGAGCAGTGATGGGGGCTTTGAGTTCCGAGCTGGTGCGGGTGAGGAGGCAGGGCTGCCACTGAGTCGGAGGTGGCCTTTGAGTCAGGGACAAGGGTAAAGGTTGGGGTGGGAGGTGTTTACCCATGTGGCAGATTGGGGAGGAGATGTTTGGGGGAAGTGTAAAATTTAACATCTACTAACTCTAAATCCTGAAGTCCTTTAGATTTTAGTTCTATTCTGATAGCCAGTCCCTGCTTTAGTTCTAGAATTGGTAAGCAAATCAGTTCTCAAAAGCAGTCTTCTGCTATATTACATTTCACCATTTCTTGACCCAAGTTCATTTTTTAGAAGGTTCTTTAAGAATTCATGAGAACAATGCTTCCTGCATTCTTACAAATACAGACTTGCTGGTGTTACTTCAACTGAGTATCATTTTGTCTACATATAAAATTATTGGGATTTACTTTTAGTCTTTAAGGATTTTGTAATTCTTTCTCCACTGCTTTTAGCACTGAATTCTATTATGGATGCCTGAAATCGCTTGATTTTTTTTTTTTTTTCTCTTCTTAAAAATGACTGACTTTGGGTTCTGGGGATGTGATGTGCAGCAGGGTGACTGTGGTTACTAGTACAGTAAGTACAGTGGAAAGTTGATTGTTCTAACCACACACAGTTTACCTGGGTTAACCGAATATGGTGATAGATGTTTTGATTATCTTGATTTTGGTAATCATAGGAAATGTGTTAACATTTTTGAAGTGTACTTAATTTTTCTTCTTTATGACCTTACAGACAGAAACCAGGAAGACCAAGACAGACATTTGTGGCAAGTTTCACTCATCAGCAAAAAATCACTAACTAAGAAGAGAGAGAATGTTTTCAGAGAAACACCCTGTCAGGATGACTCTCATGGAAAACGTTTGAAAAATGTTTCAGAATCAATTATTAGTAATAACAATTATTCAGGTAAGAACTCTGATGAAATTAATGCATGTGGGAAGTTACTCTCTGGTAATAACCAAGGAAATACTCATACTGGAAAGACGTCTGGTGAACAGAACCTAGGTGGGAAATCCCCAAGTCCTATTGAGGGCTGTACTGAGCAACAGAAAATTCAAACTTTGGGGCCACTTTTTGTAAATAATGAATGTGGAGAGATTTTTCTTAATAAGGCAGCTGTCATTACACCTACAAGGGCTCAAACAGAAGGGCAGTCCTGTGATTCTAAGGAACAGGGGCGAAATACCAGAGATGAGTCAGCCCTCGAAGTCCTCCAGGAAACTCACACAAGGAAGAACCGCTGTGAGGTCAATGAGTGCTGGAAGTCAACCCTCTTAAAACATCAGAAAGTGAATGTGGAATGTAATGACAACGAGACTAATTTCAGCAAGAAGTCCCATGACACTCAACCTCCCGAAACTCACACAGGAGAGAAAACCTTTGAATGTAGTCACTGCCAGAAATCTTTCGACCAGGAGGCCCACCTGACTCAGCATCAGAAGACACACACAAGAGAGAAACCCTGTGGAAGTAATACATCTGGAAAAACCCTTCAGAAATCACAGCTCATAGACCCTCCGCAGTCTCAGGCAGGAGAGAAACTCTGTGACTACAGCGAAGCCCCCGTGCCGTCAGGCCTTACCCATCAGCAGAGAACACGGTCAGAAGGGAAGCTTTATGTGTGTAACGAGTGCAAGAAGTCTTTCCGTCATAGCTCAGCCCTCAAAGTCCATCAGAGAATTCACACGGGAGAGAAGCCCTATCAATGCACCGAGTGTGGGAAATCCTTCTATGCCAAATCAAACTTGAACCATCATCAGAGGACTCACACGGGGGAGAAGCCCTATGAATGTAAGGAGTGTGGGAAATCCTTCTGTGTGAAATCAAACTTAACTAAGCATCAGAAAACACATACAGGAGAGAAACCTTTCAAATGTAATGAATGTGGGAAAACTTTCTTACAGAAGTCACAGTTTGCTGACCATCAGAGAACACACACGGGGGAGAGACCCTATGTATGTAATGAGTGCGGTAAGTCCTTCTACTATAAGTCAGCCCTGCACGTACATCAGGGGAAGCATACAGAAGAGAAACCCTTTAAATGCACCGACTGTGGGAAATCCTTCTGCTATAAATCTGCCTTAATTATCCATCAGGTGTCTCACACGGGGAAGAAACCCTATGACTGTAATGAATGTGGGAAAACCTTCTGTGTGAAGTCAAACCTCACTAAACATCAGAAAATTCACACTGGTTTGAAACCTTATGAATGTAATGAGTGTGGCAAAGCCTTCTCTATGAATTCGATCCTAATAGTACACCAGAGAACCCACACGGGGGAGAAACCCTATGGATGCAATGAATGTGAGAAGTCCTTTTATAAAAAATCAGCCCTCACTAAACACCAGAAAACACACACAGGGGAGAAACCACATGAGTGTAACGAATGTGGGAAGGCCTTCCATATGAAATCCACCCTGATCATACACCAGAGAACTCACACTGGAGAGAAACCCTTTAAATGTAACGAATGTGAAAAGTCATTCTACGTGAAGTCACTTCTTAACATTCATCAGAGAAATCACACGGGAAAGAAACCCCACGTATGTAGTGAGTGTGGGAAAGCCTTTTCTATGAAGTCCAATCTCACCGATCATCAGAAGACACATTCAGAAGAGAAACCCTATGAATGTAACGAATGTCAGAAGACCTTTCGCCATAAGTCAACTTTAACGGTACACCAGCGAACTCACACAGGGGAGAAACCCTATAAATGTAATGAATGTGGGAAATCTTTCTATATGAAGTCAGCCCTTAGTCAACACCAGAGAATACACACAGGGGAAAAGCCTTATGAATGTAAAGAATGTGGGAAAACCTTCTTCCAGAAGTCACACCTCACGAAACATCAGCGCACACACACAGGGGAGAAACCCTATGAATGTAAGGAATGTAAAAAAACCTTCTTCCAGAAGTCACACCTCATTGAACACCAGAGAACCCACACTGGGGAGAAGCCCCATGAATGTAACAAGTGTGGGAAATCTTTCTGTTATAAGTCAGCCTTAACCATACATCAGAGAACTCACACGGAAGAGAAACCATATAAATGCAATGAATGTGAGAAATCTTTCTGTATGAAATCACACCTCACCGTACATCAGAGAACTCACACAGGGAAGAACCCCTTTGAATGTAAGGAATGTGGGAAGACTTTTTATGTGAAGTCAAACCTCATTAATCATCAGAGGACTCATACAGGGGAGAAGCCCTATGAATGTAAGCGATGTGGGAAGTCCTTCTGTATGAAGTCGACCCTCGCGGTTCATCAGCGCACACACACAGGGGAGAAGCCCTATGAATGTAACGAATGTGGGAAGTCATTCTGCAAGAAGTCGACTCTCACGAAACATCAGGTAATTCACACAAGGGAGATACCCTAAGGTGCAGCAAATGTGGAAAACCCTCCTGTGTGAAGTCAAATTTTGTCAACACCAAGAGCTCCCGTGGGAGAGACCTTAGGACTGTAATAATGTGGAGAACTCTTGGGGAGATTCAGTCTTTAGTTGGCCTAAAGGGGTTGGTGGGCTCTTTCTGGAACGGATATTGGGAAAGTTTTTGTGTCAGATCTTATGAAATACCAGAGAGCCCACATGGAGAGAGCCGAGAATGTTCTGTATGTTAGTGTCCACCTATGAATCTGAGAAGGTGTCTCAGAGGAATCGGTCATGGGGCTCAAATCACAAAGAATGCCACAGAAGTATAAAGGCATTTACAGAGTCACAACTTACTGATCATCAGGTAATTGATATTTGAGTGGAACTGTTATCAGTGTTTTACATGCATGAAAGCTTTTGAGGGGAAAAAAAATCAGACTCTGTATAAGAAAGGAATTAATCTTGAGGGGAAATCTATCAATTTGGGAAATGTGGATACATTTTCTTTGGAAATATCCTAACACTAGAAGTCAGGATTCGGATGTGGTACAAGATTTTGAAGATGTGGCATAAGATACCTCTGATGCTAACGGTGCTCATTGTGGGATCATGAGGCCTCTGGTGGCGGCCGCTCACAGCACCAGACGCCAGAGGTGCACCTGAGGAATCGAGGTTTTGGTATATTGTACGCAGCATACACGTGTCATGCACGTTTGGTTTACGTAGCGGGTGTTGAAATAGGTGTCGGTAGGAAGTATCTCCCCATAGCTTAATAATTACCATGACAGACTTCTCACACTACAGGGCCCTTGTGTGTTTTTGTATGTTTGTAGTACAGAATGCATTACAGGGGACATGCTTGACAAATTCTGCAATTCTATATGCCAACATAACAGTTCAGTGAGGAACACAGAGTACAGTCCACCATAGGGCATGCTCTCTTCCGTGTAAGCTGAGAGGAAGTAAGATACACACACAATTGCTTGTTTTTGCAAAGAGAAAGGCTAGAAGGATAAACTACAAGCTAAGAAAAATGAATTCCTATGGAGGCAGGAGTGAACATGGTGGAGTTGGGGATGGAAGCAAGGTTTCTTTGGTTACGCCTTTGTATGACATTTTGACTTTTGAACAATATAAATTATTTATATATTCAAAAATAGAAAATAAAGGCATTCTGAAATTGAAAACAAATGAACTTTATATCAAATTGGTAACAACACAGAGAAAATAATTCTTACAGGAAACTTCTGAATACAGAGTTATGACTATATATCCTTAATGGTATGTTTCAGGGCAAAGATTTGCAAAAAATTACAAATACCACTCATTTTTTGTTAGTAATAATTGGTGTTATTTTAGATCTGGTTTGTGTATGTTGTAAGATAAAGCAAAAAGAAACTGTTAATGTTACCAGGAACCACACTTCCCAGTTTACAAGAAGAGATGACCATAAAAATGAAAGAATTTATGTAAAACTCCCCATAAGAAGTATGAACTGATCAGACGTTATTTTTAAAAAGTGTATGTATGTCTGAGCTCTGTCCGCTGAGGGCCTGGAAGTGGGGGCAGCCCCACAGATGTGCAGCCTCGGTGCCAGCATTTCCCTCTTGAGGAGCCAGGACTCCCTGGAGAAACAGCTGGTTCTAGGTCCGGGCCCTTAAGTGTCCAGGGTGAGGCTGGGAGCTCTTGGGTCAAGAAACCAAGGAAGTACTCAAGATTAACGGGGATGCATAAGTGGTCCCAGATGCTACCTTGCAGGGTTTCTCCCTGGCCAAATTTGAGGTAGTTTGACGGTCCAACAGAACAACTGTAATGGATTCCACAACATTTGATTCAACAAAAATCTGTGTCCACATCAATATGGAAAAAGAGAAAGGGGCATGAGCTTATTTCCACCGTTGTAGGTGAATCTTACACAAGCTCCTTTCTCTTTAATGAGAAGGAAAGCATTTTCACCCCGGCCTTTTAGTAAGAGCAGTTGTGGGAAGGCTGCATGTTCTAGACAAGTGTTAGCTAATAAATGTAGAAGGAATGATAGAATTTGAAAGATCATTAATTTGCAAACCCTGGGGTGTCTAGGCAAAGAGTGTCGGTGACGCCAGCATCAGTAGGTGTAAAGAACTGGGGATCTGTGCAGGGCCAGAGAACCTCCCACGGGCATCTTTTTCACTGGCCCTGGAAAAGGTACGCCTTTACAGTGGAATAATTAACTGCCCCCCTTTCACCATCAGCAGTGGTGACACCACACCGTGTGCCTCCTGTTAGGGCGCAGCATCCACACGTCACCTGGAGGTGTGCTCTTGCCCAAGTACTTCGTAGGAGTTTAATCAGGTGATTGGTTTACAGCAGATATGAGAGAGCAGCTGCAGTGCAGGAAACCAAAATCCAGAATGTGGGGGCATCCACCAAGACAGTTGGCCTGGTGTCTCCAAAAGTCAATGTCATTTTAGAAAGAAAAGGTTGGGGCGGGGGGGCTCTTTCAATCCAGAAAGACTAACGAGACCTCACCAGATGCAGTGTGTGGTCCTTGGTTGGATCCAAACCCCACTCAGCTAGAAAAGACATCCATGTGGGTACTTCTGAGGCCTTTGGAGGAACTGAAACGTGGAATGGCATTGGATAATGTTAGGGAATTTGAGCAGTTTTCTTCAGTGTGGTAACGGTGGTGAGTGCGAGTCTCTAGGACACCATGCAGAATAGAAGGGAGCTGTCGGTTCTGCCGCTGGGAAATGGTTTGGGACAGGAATGTGCATTATTAGAGGAAGCAGGAAATAGGGCAAAAATCTCAGCAAGCACTGAGCGTGGTGCTCGGGACACGGGTGTTCACTCTCTTTCTTTACAGAGCTCTGATCAATGCTAACCACTTTTGGAAAAGCACTGGTTTTTGGCATATACAGTGATGCCCGTTGTTACTGGTCTGCGCATCAATAAAGAAGCCGAACAATTGCCTTAAAAAAAAAAGTATGTGTCTTGGGCTTGGCTGATTTAATGAACACCTGTTCATCGAGTGTGCAGGGGCAGGGGTGTGGCTGTTTGCAGGCGGTGGTGCTCGTCCCGCTGCAGACAGCGCCGTGTATAGAAAATCCCCTTCTCTTCCCACTCCTGGGGGGATTTGCAGGGCGCCTGGCGAGGCTCGGCGGCTGGAGTCCCCGTGGGAGGAAGAGCAGGCTCCAGAGACTGTGCCTGGTCCCTGTCCCCTCGAAGCAGGCTGGCAGCTGCTGTCGCATCTTCCTTGGTAGAGGGCCTCGATGGGGCCTGTGCTCCTCCTTGCCAGAGGCTGTTTGGTGTTGGCAGGATGACCAGACAGTGAAGTATTCCGGGTGATCTGGGGGAAGGTTTTGTCATCGATAAAGAAACGGGACCAGAATGGCATTGTCGGTATGGATGCCCGTTGATGGCATCTTGTGACTCGGGGCTGGTTGTCAGGATGGTGATCTGAGGGAAGGCCGGTCCCAAGGGCAGGGAGCGCGGGGAGTGGTGAATTAACCAGCTCCGAAGCTGCTCCGTACCGGGAAGACTGAGGTCTTCAATCTCCCTTAGAGTTTATGCCTGTTGGAGTTGGGATTTTTTCTGTTGCTGGGAGCTATAAGGCATCTTAATGTTGCAAATATGTATATATATATAAATACAGAGTGTGTGTCTATATATACATGTGTATATATGTAGTATATATCTTATTCTATAAGCCAGAAGTGGTAGACACAGGAACTTGGGAGCAAGAATGATTTCCTTCAAGAAAATGATTCAGTGACTGCTTTCTCCCCTGTACAGTTCCATGCCTTGATGAAATAATGCTATTTCTTGTTCTAAAGAAATAGAGCACAGGAAATGTCATTTTGCAACCCAGTTACATATTAAATATTCTTTATGTGAAATTTATTTATTCTTAATTATTTATTCCTTTCATTTATCTTTCCCATTTTCTCGACAAGATGTGGTTTGATGCATTTGATTTTTATTTTCTTCCTGAGTTGTTGTCTTTACACCACTGAATTAATCTTTCTGTCCCTGACTTAAAATACTGTCTTTATCGTGGATTAAATTATCATTTGCAGTGGCTTCGCTTTTTGTCCACTCAGCCTCTTCCCCACATCCTTCCAGAAAGGGAAGCTGATCCCTCCAGGGCTGGCACATTCCCTGGCAGGCCAGTCACAGTTCAGTTGTTCCTGGGAGGGACACTTAATCTAGAGGCCAGTGAGAGTCGGGGGAGCTCCAGCCGGGCTTCTGGTGGATGTCACGGAGCAGTGGCTGGCTGGTTCGGATCGCGGAGGTTGGTTATCCAAGTTTCCTCCTGTTTGCAGTCACTCCTGACTCACGGCTTGTAAGTACTCTGATTCTGGGTTTGTTTTCTGTTTTACTGACTTGTAATTGTACTGAACAAGATCATGTTTTCATTGGTCTTTTTATTTATTTTTTAAGATTTTATGTATTTGAGAGAGAGCTCACAAGCAGGGGGAACAGCAGAGAGAGAGGGAGAAGCAGGCTCCCGCTGAGCAGTGAGTCCAATGAGGGACTCGTTCCAAGGACCGACTGAGCCCCCCAGGTGCTCCTTCATTGTTCTTCGTAATGTTTTTGCACATGTTGCAAAGCACATCTGTCTTCATTCTTTTCCAAATCTTTCTTGGCTGTTCCCGCATTAGTTCTTAGGGACAGTCTCAGGTATGGTTCCTCTCCAAAGCCTTTGGGATTCTGATTGTGTGCTTAGTCTCAACTGCCCACCAAGTGTGGCGCACTCTTGATCCAACTGGGCGGGACCAATCCCCGGTGACGGGAGATGAGGGACTCAGAGACAGACGTTCTCTTTCCTGGGAGTGGGCCATACTTTGTTTCTTTGCATGTTTTATCATTATTCATTGAAAACTGGACATTTTTTAAAAAAGATTTTTTATTGACAGAGCGCACACACAAGCAGGGGGAGCAGCAGAGGGAGAGGGAGAAGCAGGCTCCCTGCGAAGCAGGGAGCCTGATGCAGGACTTGATCCCAGGACCCTGGGATCGTGAACTGAGCCGAAGGCAGAGGCTCAACCATCTGAGCCACCCAGGTGCCCAGAAAACTGGACATTTTAAATATAATGTGGC